GGGGTCGCCGCTGCCAGGACGGGCGGGGCCAGCGCCGTAGGAGGTGCCCGCCCGTTGAGACGCCAGGCCGCGGAGGTCGTCGTCGAAGGTGACGTCGCTGCTAACAGTCACCTTACCGTCGACGAGGACGCGGTGGGCGGCCGTGCCGCGCTCTGGTCCTAGGTAGGTTCCCGCCTCTGCGCGGGGACCGAGCTTAACCTGCTGGCTGGTTGGGACGCGGACGTATGCCAGGCAGCCGAAGGTGTGCAGGTGACTGACGTCGGGGGTGACGCCATGATAAGTTGCCCACGGCGTAGCCTCCCGGCCCTGAGAGGGGGAAACATTGCGCAGGAGGTTGGCGTATAGCACAGCTTCCGACCAAAAGCTGTCGGGGAGCGCGGCATCGTACAGCATAGCCCACACACGGTCGAGGAGCGTGCGATTGAGCCGCTCCGCTGCACCGTTCTGCTCCGGAGTGTACGGCGCCGAGTGGGTATGCGCAGTGCCACGCTGGCATAGCCACTGTGCCAGCTGCTCGGCGACAAACTCGCCACCGTTATCACTATGAAGGGTGCGGACCCGTGCACCATTCGGGTTGCGAGCCTCCAGCTGCGTCACCATGTCCTGCAGCGCTTCGCCCACTTGGTTCTTGCTAACCAGTGTGCGAACGGCAGACAGACCGGAGGCACCGTCCAGCAGCGTTAGCAAGTAGCGAGCCCCTCCTCGGCCCGTGGTCGGCATGGGCCCGCACAGGTCAGAGTGTACGACCTCCAGGACATGCTGAGGCCGGTTACCGCGGCTGACGTGAGCTGTAGCTGTAGTCTTCGCTGTGACACAGGCTTCGCAGACACCCTCTGCTGCCTGATGCAGCGCCGCGGGAGTGACCCGTGGTCCATGTACCAGCTGCTTGGTGATAAGCTGCTCCAACGCCCGGTAACCAAGGTGGCCGAACTGGCGGTGCAGGCGCTGTGCTGCTGCGAGTTCGGCGGCTGAGCACTCAAGGGCGCCCAGCTGCCCTTGGCCGTTGCTGGCGCCGTTCGACTGGTCTCCGCCGGTGTCACTGCTGCCGGCACCATTCGGCTGGTCCCCGCCGGCTGGTCCCCGCCGGCGTCACTGCTGCTGGCGCCGGCGGCAAATCTGCTAGCGCTGGTACCTCCGCCGGCTCTGTCTTCCGCAGCGCCGAGCGCACTGACGGCGCGTTTGGTCGGCGCCAGCAGGTCCACGTCCATGACGTAATGCCCACGCTCGCTCCACGCGGTGATAGACGAACCGCCGTGCGGCAGGCCTACGCGCGAGAACCGGCGGCCCGCCTTGTCCGTGCCGAACGTGACTGAGCAGCCGCGCGTCACGAGAAGGTCGACAGACATGAGCGTCAGTCCCGAGCTGGGGACATGGAGCACGTTGCGTAGCAAGACGGTTTCTCCATCGCGTGTCCGTAGGAGTAGCTGCCCTGTTCCCATGACGTCGGCTAGCTGGTTGTTCCCCCACTTAATTTGCTTGGGCGAGCCGGCAGGAACGTAACTGTGCAACAGTGAGCGGTCAACTGTAAGGTGGTAAGGTGAACCAGAGTCTAGGACTACTGCTGAACTGTTGCCACTGCCACCGACGACCAGCACCGTGGCACGGTTCTGGCGTGAGCTTACACCGCCGCCGCCGCCGCCACTGCTTCCGCCAGCAGTGTCGCTGCCGCTGCGGCGGCCGTTGCCGCGTCTAAAACGGCCGCGTTCTCGCGTCCTGTCGCCCCCGCTGTTATTGCCGCCGCTGGTGCCTCCGCCGCCGCCATCACGATGGCGGTTGCCGCTGCCACTGCTGCCGGCGCCAGTACTGCATGGCTGTTCAAACGCATTGCTGCGGTAGAGGCCTACGGACACGTCCGCCAGTTTAACGGGGCACTCACGGACGTAGTGCCCAGGCTGTCCACAGTAGCGGCAGGTGTCGATGGCCCCCGCGGCGCCCGAGGCGCCGGCAGCACCGCGGACTCCACGGGCGGTGCGACCAGGGCCAACAGCTCCAACCAGGCCGGACTTGATTGCTTGAGCCTTCAGGTTGTTCTCCTTCTCCCGCAGCATAAACACGAGCTGCGGGGTAGTCAAGTTGGGCAAATACATCGCGAACTCGACAGTAATAGCGTACTGTGGAGGCAGACCGTGGAGAATTGCATGACGCATAGCAGCCTCGTCCCACTGGCCGCCCGCCGAGATAATGTCGCTGCGGAGCTGCTCCGCCCGCTGAATGAAGTCAGCGGTCGTCTCGTCGTCGCCCATGCGCAGTTGCTTCTGCGGCTCCAGCAGGCTTAGCCGGGCCTGAGAGGCAGAACGGAACTGCAGCTGTAAGAGCTGCATGGCGGCGAGGGTCGTCTGACAGTTCCTGAGCAACTGCTTTACTGGCAGTTCGCAGGATAGACGCAGGTAGCCAAGCGCCTGGGCATCTTCCTCCAGAGCGTCTTGCGCATTGCGTCCCGGTGGCGACGGGTTGGTCATATAGCTCCGCAGCTTGGATGTAGCAAGGAAATCACTGAAGTCTCCTAGCCACTGTGAGTAGTTAGACCCGTCCGCTAAGAGGACGGTCTTACACCCTTTTCCCATGTCGGTTGCCTAGCGAGCCTCCCTGCTCAAGCTAAAAGCAACTACAGATATTACCCGCCGGGAACCGTTACCCGGGGCTCATAACCTGTTGGTGAGACGCTATCTCACAGGGACCTAGCAGACACGACTAAGGAGACATTAGCCGTTACACGTATTCGGGAGATCCGCGACCTACCACCGAAAGCCCCTTTGCCTAGGCGTAAACGTGTGAATCTGAGGACTTCCCCGATAAACAACAGAGACTTATAAAGGCTTGGAAAGCCTATCCCAAAGGACGAGAGCTATCAGTACGCTAGAACCTAATAGCCATTATGACGGGCCTCCCGAGACAGGTCCAAAGCTGTTGGTCCAAAGCTGTTACTCAGTCTAACATGCGACCTCAGACCGGCCACAGCTGTTACTCACGACAGCCTGACAAGTTACCCAAGCAGGCCACAGGGCGACACGGCAACCCTTCGCATCAACATGGATAGGCTCAGGAGGCGGAGTGATCCGAGTAACCTTGCGGAGGGGCCCTTCGAGACATTTCTGAAGGATGGAGCGTTGCAGCTCCAGGTATCGTTCATGCGGCAAATTGCGGGAGCTGCCAGACCAGCGCACCGCCTCCTGTTCGCTGAATTGTCACGGCTACCTCTACACTGCCACGTTTTTAAGCAGATTAATCTTGTAAGGTTTTGAAACCGTGTCCGTTTACAGCGCGGGTCTGTGGCACACCAAGTTGTGCGACAGGAGATCATAGAGGCTCTCCCCAACCCGGAAGGGGGCGGATGGGGGCCACTAGTCCTCCGGTTTCTGAGTTTTCTGGGGCACGACGTATGGGAAAAGGCTTCGCAAGGGCTACGTGAGGCAGATGAACGAGTGGAATGGCTAATGAATAGGCCATTGCTTCTTCTATCGGAGTTCTTGATGAGCAGTTGGAAGCATACACGTCTAGATGCCCAGCCAGACGTGTAGCCGTCAGACGGAAAGCAACCGGGAATCCACATGGCGAATTAATTTTTGACTTAGGTGCGACTGAATGAAGCAATCGGAGTCTCTAAGTCTGGTTCTGTGCGACTGTCGTACAACCGTATTTGAGTGGCGAGTATATCACGCTTCAGCTCCTTCGTTACAAGCATTCTGCCTTTCACTCAGTAGAGCTTCAGCTCGTAGCTGACAGTTTCCCGCCCACCTTCCCCCACGGCGTTGCGATTGTTATCCCCCTCGCCACCCCCTTTCCCTTCTTCGCTGGTCAATCGCAGACACCTCCGCGTCGGGCTCGGCCAGCGGCGGGCTGGTGGCGGATGCCCGCTGAGGGGCGGCTGGACAATCGGCGGGCCGAGAGCGGGAGGGTTGGGGAGGGTTTTCGTTGCGGTTGGGTCTTTTAGCTTAGACATGCGGCCTTGGGAGCTCCGGAGGGGTGCTGCTTGTCGCTGGAGAGCTCAGTCCGGGCCCTTCTAGGGTTCCGGAAGTTTGGTCGTAGTGCATGAGTTTGTCCAGGTGGCCGTTGGGCGTTCTTTGGGTTCGCGTTGTGTGTCGTTCTGTCGCGCGCGTGTTTCCCCGTAGGGGTGTGTTGGTGGGCCGCGCAATGGTGGTGTGGTTGCCAGTGGGCCGCAGTCGCGCGGCCGTGGTTGGCTGGGGCTGTGTTCTACTGCAGTGTAAGGGCCCTTGGCAGCTGGTCTCCCCGCTTCCCGTCTCTACCATTCCAAGCACGGTCAGCAAGCTTGTGTGTGGGGTTTTATTAGGGAACCCAGCAGCAATTGACAGTTCCAATTGTTGCCCTTCATCACGAGCAGGCAGCAAGTTGCGAAGTACTCATATCCTAACGTCTATTTATTTATGCTTCATTTCTGAGTTTGGGACGTAATCGGTGACTTATTCCGAATCCTTGAAACACTGCAGGGATTAGAAGTTGTTTAATGTGATATTATATTTCCAAAATTTCGACAGTTCTCCATCCGATCGGATCGCGGGTGTAAACACCCTCGCTCTTAGATGTACGACCGACGACAAGCATCTCAACAGGGGACAAGCAAGATGCTTGCACACAATAAACAACAAGATGCCTCGCAGCAACTTCAATAGTTTAATATGTACGTATGTATGTGTGTGTGCGTCTGTTAGGCCTCGGTTGTGTTACCCAGAGAGGTGCAACAGAACGAGCCAGAGGCCGAAGAGCTTAGAAGCCAGAAGCTAGACTAGGGATGGACATAGTATATGAATAAACTACAATACGATGCTATACAAATATATGACTGGCGCATTAAAAACGCGACATTCATTGCGACAAACCTAACAAGCCAAGCTAGCGGGCCACCATATATAGCACTCATGCATGAACAAGCGCTCTGGTACATGCGCTTTCCGGGATCAAAAGCTTTGTACAAGCTATTAAGACATCAATGCAATACCAAGCACAATAATGCCTGCTGTCCGCCTCATTCCATAATTAGTATATTACATACATCGCTTGAGATAAAACCCATCTTCCCGGCAAGAAGCTGCTGGTACATGTATGATGGCAATCAGGCGTCGGCTCGTCCAGTTTCGCGGATTGAGCACTGCCCAAGCGGAGTGAGACGAATGCCCCAAGCTACCTGCACACCGGAACAGCAGGGGGATGGAAGGGAAATTGAAGGCCATGCATTTATCAGACCTGCCGGCTGGAGCACGCATGAGTGGGTGTGCGCATGGCGGGCTAGGCGGTGATGATTAGCTGTGTGGCAGCAGGGTTGGCGGCTGGCTGGCTTGAGCTGACGTCGATCTGGACCAACTACCCTTCGCGGAAGATAACCCAGGCATCACCTTTATAGGAACGAACGCAAGGATTACGTAGGAGCTGATTGATGCATGGCCAATGTACACACGCAACCTAGCATCGCAATTCTGTGCCTCTCACTATTTGGGTTGGTTGCAGGGTCACCTTATTCACACACAAATACCTGCATGACAGCTGCACCAACTGCTACCTGCTACCTGGGATATCATAGCCTTTGGTGTGATGATACATACTGCTTCACAGCATTTTGTGCGATATCGACACACACACCGACCTGCCAAATGGCCTCGTGCGGTGCCTAGGCTCTTGGGAGGCTGGATCAGCGGTGGAGGCGACGAAGGAGAGCAGGGTCTGCAGCGGGCAGCCGCACAGGGGCACCAACAGCAGTGATGCCAATTAGGAGGTGCATGCAGGTGCAATTCACCCTGCTGCGTATTCACTGGTGCAGGCAAGAAAACCGATGCATGATCATTGCGTGAATGCTGCATACAAAAGGTGCAGCTCAAAAAGATACACACACACACACCAAGGTGCGCTCGCCTTGTAAGGCGAACGCACCTAGGCGAGCTGCTAATTAGCAGCTGCGCGTGGCACTTGTAACGAACGTGCACAATCAGATGCGGTACTAGGGGCGGGCTGTTTGTGGGTGAATTGAGTCCTCGAGCTTTGCATTCGCTGATGACTCACCGATGAGCGAGTACAAGCTGTTTGACCAGGAACCTCCGCAGGTTTTGGAGTTATCGCCTGTGCAGTTCATGGTGCAACCAGTGCTCGTGCCAAGAGACGTAGCCAGCGCCAGGTCGTTCCCACCATAGCACTGGCCCCGGAACTGCACACCGTACAGCTTCAGGCCTGCGCATTGTACGAAACGTGCGCAGCAAATATTCACCATACGTGCATAACGAGGTAGACGAGAGAACATTTCTCCCTCGCATATTAATACCATATATACTGCTGCACATGCTACAGCGGCATTGCTTCAATTCTTTCCGCATCTCACGTGTCTTGACTCATACAAAAGCTACCGACTGATGTACAGCTAGTTGGAATAGCAGCTGTGTAACGAGTAGTAATCCGATTCCCTTGGCATCTCACTCTCGTTGTCTAGCTATCTGGCGTAACGAGCCGCAGCAGGGTTGGAGATACAGAGGGGACACATGCAGGACTCGCTAGGCGGCAAGGGCGGGAGGGAGAGGCGAATGTCGGTGTCGCAGATTGATCGGTGTATGCGTGAGCCCACGCACCTGCAGCACGTGCCAGGTTCGCACATGTCGACGGCGTCACATATTGCTTGTTGTACGCCAGGAACACAGGCAGCAGGCGACTGCTGTTGCTCTTCCTGTCGTTGTAGCAGCCCAGGGGAATTCCCTCCGCTATGCAGACGACGCGAGCAATGGGGGAACGCGAGAGACAGACGGAGTGACCGGGGTTCATAGAGCAGCAGGGACATGGAGAACAGCAAGGTGAGGCTCTTTATCATCGTACCCCGCGCAACATAATCAACGTAGGGACCCTCCCACCTACCCACCCTGCTGCTGTCCAGTACTGCACGTCGTACATAAAGTTTGTCAAATCACATCAGCGAAAGAGCATATAATGATCCTTATATATTTCAATCCACGAAACAACTGAAGATGTCAACGAAACCCAGGGATTGCCTCTTTGTGGTGCACATCGCTCACAAAAAACCGTCTCCTCGTACCTCCTTCCTAATCCACATCCCAAGCACCACAAAACCCTCGAGAATGATCCCTCTTCTCTCTGACCGATGTTGCCATGACTTGTCTAAACAAGCCTTCGCACACCATCTGAGCCACATGCTCCAGATGTTATCCAGAAACCCCACTAAACGGGTATTTAGTAACCGTAATCTGTGACGTTTTTCAACGAACTACAACTGTGATTTCATAACTGCCTTCCGGCGGGTAGTTAAGAAATTCCGAGGATCCCTGAAAACATTAGCTGAGGCTCCGAACCCACTGTACAACCAACTTTGGGAGCCCACAACTTATGCCGTACAGCACAAAATAAAATTATAAAAAAGGTTTCGCGGAATATGATTGCCTGTTTGGAAGCGTGGGGTAAATGAAATTGCCACCTCCCCCTGTGGTTCGATCGCCATAATTGTCGTCGTCTATCCGGTTCCGTGCATAATACCCCGAGCGCGGCTGGCTGCGGCTGCACATCCAGTCAGTGTTGTCACTAGCTAGCTCTACTAGATCCGTGAAACAGTGCAAACCGAGCAATCCATCTCGCTGCCATTAGGTGGCTCGCATGGCTGTATGTATGATGTGTGAAACAGGGGGGTGTATCTTCGCCCGTGGCAGCTACCCTGCGAAACCCTGCCTTCCCCGGTATTTCGGGGCACCCTCATCCAGTCACTCAAGTCAACTTCTCAGTGGATCGCTCAGGTTCCGCTCCCACCACCAGCATCCAACGGAATCTGCCGGGTCGACAGCGGCCCATCTCCGTCCCTGGTCAGCTCGCAGATTAACTTTGTCCCAGGTCACCACCGTCCATCAACTAGGGGCGTAATGTCTTCCACCATCGGAAGGACTTTTAACCCTAACGAGTATCGATCCCGGGATCTCCCGGGGGCAATGGTCGCGCCTTACCAGTAGTGCCAAACCCTTGTGTATGTATGTATGTAATCAGCAATGCCTGCACCCAACGTACCTGGAATTGGAATTGGGTTTGGAGGCGGCGGGCCTGGTGGTGGCGGGTTTGCTGCGTTATTACAGAAGAGCAGCAGCGGGCCGGTGCGGACATATGGAGTCAGCGCGTCGGTAAAAATGGTTGGGCAAAGTAATGGGGCCAGTTTCTGCCTGCTGCATTATCACTGTTCTGCCGAACCAGTCATTTGCCACGTGCGGGTTGGCTCGTTATTGACATGCGGCAGACCAGTAGCAGGCTGATCACAGCCGACCCACATGGATTGTCTCCTGCTGTACAAGTTCACCAGGAGCAGTCAAGTGTTCCTAGACTCAGCCATCCATCACTGTTTTGCTGGGTAGCAGCTGTTTAATAATGATATTGCAGGTTTATACCTACATCCTCTATCTCGCTGTAATTTAATCCCTCAACATACCATACCTGGCGGGGGGGGCAGGCTTGGTGGTGGTGAAGGTGGCGGCGAAGGAGGTGGTGGGGGTGGTGGTGGAGGGGGCGGCGGCGGCGGGCTTGGGGAGGGGGGTGGCGATGGCGGAGAAGGTGGAGGTGGAAGCTCTGCAGAAGGTGGCAGGTGGCAGGTTGGCGACGGAATACACAGACTCGGTTTAGCAGTGTAGTGACTCTGCCTGAAGTGAGCAGAAGTGCTCACAGTTCCTGGGTGAGAGCCCTAGACGTGAGCTCCTGCTCAAACGGGCGCGGGCTCGAGTGGAGCCAGCTAGCGTATCTCGAAGATATGCCACGCACCTAGCCGTCCTGGTGGTTCGGCATATGCTCGACCTACTTTGGTGAATTGCTGGCGACGGAATCGTTCCAATGCACAGCCAGGTAGATGTGGAACTAGAGACAGGCTGTTCATTTGTGAAGTAGGATTGTATAAGGGCTATCGGGTGCATGTCCCCTCAGAGAACTACTTCCACACTTTGACTCTTAATCGGAACATGGAAAATCCCCCAGCTTTGCACTTTCGCTGATGACTCACCGACGAGCGAGTACAAACTGTTTGACCAGGTACCTCCGCAGATTTTGGAGTTATCGCCTGTGCAGTTCATGGTGCAGGCAGCGCTCTCGCCGAGAGACGTAGCCAGCGCCAGGTCGTTCCCACCATAGCACTGGCCCCTGAACTGCACACCGTACAGCTTAAGGCCTGCGCATGTATTGAGCACCAAGAATACCATGCACCGTCCAGATTGGAGGTTAACGAGAGGAGGTTTCCCCACGTGTTTTATCTTACTGATACACGAGCTATGTCGCAGCGCACTACGGCTGCACTGCCCTTGTGCAGCGCACTTGTCAAACGGCAAGGCTTAATGCACAGCTAGTTGGATTCGGAGTCCAGCACAGCGCCTGGGAGTTGAATGTTTAGTACGTGGAAGAGCACAACCTGAAAAACTTAGGGCACTCTGGCAGCACTGCAGTAAAATCCCCTTGGCATCTCACTCTCGCGAGTACCCGCGGGTACCGTTTGTCTAGCTATCCGGCGTATCAAGCCGCAGCAGGGTTGGAGATACAGAGGGGTCGCCTAAAGATCTACATTCGGTCGGGGACACATGCAGGACTCGCCAGGCGGCAAGGGCGGGAGGGAGAGTGTGTTAGCCCACGCACCTGCAGCACGTGCGAGGCTCGCACACCTCAACGGCGTCACAAATTGCTTGTTGTACGCGAGGAACACAGGCAGCAGGCGACTGCTGTTGCTCTTCCTGTCGTTGTAGCAGCCGATGTAATATCCCTCCGCTATGGATTGCAACGCAAAGCAATCACGTGAGGGACAGACAGACTTCTCGTCAAACGGATCAATTGGGATCCAGCATCGGTCCGGCGCCATTATACTATTATTTTTATCACTATTAATAAAAAGTGTTTTGTTATTTTTGTTATTGTCATGTATCCTGCCGCGTGGACGACAGCGCCGCTGAGCAATCCATCTTGCACCCGGTATGTAGCGAGGTGGCTATGTGTATGAGCCATGCGATGCCTGCACCCAATGTAATGTGGATTGGTGTACACCTGCCAAACATTCGTGCTTTGAGGTGGCGGGCCTGGTGGCGTTATTACAGAAGCGCAGCAGCGGACCAATGCGGACATATGGAGTCAGCGCGTCCGTGAAAATGGTTGCTGTACTACCCAGCGGCAAGAAGAAGTTTCATTACTCAACTACGCACCATCTAATCGTGGCACCTAGCTGCTGCTGCGTGATTACCACGAACAAGTAGCCAACCGATAGGAACCGACTGATATCGGGAACGGTGGGTCGTTACGTACCTTGGGCTGAGGTTTGAGAGATGAAAAGTGCTGAGATTATCAGCAGCAGACATTTTAGCTTCCACATCATCGCGGTACGGCAGTTGCCTGCTCCTCTGCTTGCCTTGGACAAGGAGCGAGTTGGCGACAGGAAGAAGAAGTGAGCGAGGGCGTGGCAGGCCGCCGCAATAGTACGGAAGGGGAGGGGGAAGGCGGGAGGCAGGGCAGGTATGGTCCAGTGAGGTTTCCGGGGCCATTTAAGCACAAAACCCGAAACCCCTGCATATCGGCAAGAGCCTTTGGATGCCGTAAGTGCAGCAGCAGTGGTGTAGCACGTGTGTTAACTGAGTGGCAGGGCGGTGTAGGTGGATTTGCGGTAGCAAGCTGCTTACCTGCAGCACAGGGTAGCAGAGAAACTAGCCGAGCCATCGCTACTAGCAGCGCAACAGTAGCGGGTAGTGGGTAGCTCCTAGCAGCAGCAGAGGTCTAGCAAGCAACTATGATACGTACGAATCTGAGCATGCAGACCAAAACGGATGCATGTTCTTTTGTTGCCACACGCACAGTCAGTCGCGCAAATAAAGGCGGGGACTTCCGTATCATAATCAGTAAGCAGGAATAGCAGAAGTAGTAGTAGCAGTCATAACAGTAGTGGTGTGCGCACATGTGCATACCGGTTCAAACGCATGCATATCTAATAGCAGCGCTCGCTGTCTCATAAAGCGTGCTTTATCGTGATTAGGACCAACCAACTCGTCGGCACCCTTGGAAGCGTACCTTCGCTGATCGCCCGTAGTTCTCAGTAAGCTCTATCGTTCATAAACTAAAGTATTGCCGTTCAAGCCGACAGGTGTCCTAGGTTGGAAAGATGAAAAATGTGTGTTGCGTCGAGCACCGGAAACCGTTCGCAAGGGAGAGGGAACGTGTGTGCGCACAGCTGGTTGGTGCGTGCGTCCTTCACACCACTCAATACTCTACAAGACGCGACCGAAAGGTAAACGCATATTTGGAGCTAATAATACACGCCGTCGTACAAGTTTGTCGAATGTTCAATAGAGTTGCATTGAACTTCAAGCATATCGCCTGCCACTTGATGCATGTTATCCTTATCGTTCTGCCCATGTAGCGGGGCGAAATGTATGAGAGAGGATGGTCGGTGGCCATCCATGCGTGGCGGGCGGGCGTGGCGGGAAGCAGCCGTACCTGCTTCGCGTAAAGCCATGAATGGCCTTAAACCTAGTGAACAGGTTTGTGATAAACAAGGATCAAAGCGATATTACGACTGCGGCACACATGAGCCCATTCTGCGGGATATCTGACTGCGAGATATGTGAAAATGATGACTGGTTGTACGATCATAAGCCATATGGTAATATGCTTGTGCATGCATTAGGTTAGATGGTCAATGTCGTGAGTGCGGGACTGCTAACAGATGAACACGCCAACGACGCCGGGAAACTGAAGTGGAAGCTTCAAATTAAGGGACGACTGGCGAGCGGCGAGACCGAACTATTTATCTCCACGTCACGCGCAGCCGTGCGAGCACAACAATATAAAAGCACAGGCCATGCACGAATCCGAGACAAGCAGCGACATCTTCCTCAATCCCTCCGCACTCCCCTCAGCGACCGTATTCGTGGTCGCTTCACCTCTCCTCGCATTCGAATTCGCGGTCGCAGTTGTGAAACGTTTGTGAAACGTTTCTTCGCTCGGTTCGCCAGGACCCGCAACTTATCTAAGTAATTAAACGCTCCTTTATGATGGTCCTCAAAAGTATTTTCGGAATACGTTATGAAGCGCTCACGTGCGTTGCAAGCCGCCGTAAAGTCGTGAAGACATAACACATTGTAAGCCATATTAATAAGCTAAACATTAATAGGCTTGCCTTTATATAGGCACATATAGTTCTGCAGCATATGTCGCATAACTTCGGGTCCTTACGGCTCGGTACTTGACGACTTGCAAGTCGAAAGCAAGCATGTGAGCGCTTATACATCGCGTCCGCAATTTGTGTTGAGGACCGCCTTAACACAAGGCTCGGAGGTATCCTCATCCTCAGACGATACCGACAAGACCGCACCAAAAGGACACGCACAAAAACAACAGCAGATCTCCAAACATAGAAGTTCAGCCAAGCCAAAACTACTGCGTGCAGAAACCACCATCGCAGCACAGATACTGCACTCGCACTACCTCCTTACTGAGCGGGTCCAAGACCAAGCAATACGTATCTTCTTAGTTCTTTGCCTAGTTAAGCAATAAGCATCTTGTCAATTCTTTGCCTAATCCATTATTAACTTAAGCTGAAGCTTCAAGCTCCCAACAGCCTTACCCGAAACGCAGGGCCAACCGGTGCAAAAGCCGAGGCAAACACAGCCCCGGTGTGAGTGAGCCATGTCAGCCGCCGCGTTTCCTTGTCAGGAGGTGGCCCCATTCCCTTCAGGTGTAACAACGCCGTTGTACGGCAGGACCGTTACAGAGCTCATAACCATGGCGAATCCCCTGCCATGCAACTGCAGCAGTGTCTTTTCCGCCTGCAGAGTCACTTGATACCTTAATGACCCCGCCCGGTGATTCCAGTGGGAATGCCTCTGGGTTAGTAAGGGTCCACCTCGCATCAAGCCGCTTAGGAAAAGATTTTAGCCTATCACCGATAGGCTATCTAATTGCAGCATAGTGGCCAATCCAAATTATCGCCTTGTAGGCCTCCGGGGGCTGATGCACCCATACTGGCCAGAAAGGCAATGACCTTCCCCATCCACGCCAACCATCAGTGACAACCCCAACCGCCAGCCTGAGGTGGCACATTATTGTCCCGCCAGGCCTCTTCATCCAGGAGTTCCAGATGCTAGGAATAAGGTTAGCCAAATGGAACTGTAGTGGCCTCTGTAGTGATAGCTCGCGATAGGGATAGGTAAAGTTTTTGGGATATCGTGCACCTGCCACAGATCACTCACATGGAGGCACGCTGTTCCTCGACAATTGGGTTAGCGTTATAGCGCGTTTAATGCTCACATTGATGAAGTTGGGTCCCCCCACCTGCGTCCCCTACGATAGGACGGGCACGTCGAGATCTTTGTAGGGCTGGTCATGGTTGTAACCTTGTTACAGTGGTGCAGCGCAGCAAGGCCCCAAGCGACCGCCTTTCCCTTGACAGACAACTGCTCCATGCAGGAAGTGAAGCCTTACTCCCGGCGATCATTAGCCCTAAGCCGAGCAGGTACCGGGCTTGCGCGCTAGTAATTGCCACTAGGGATGCATCGGGTGTCAACAAAAAAAAGGTTGGTGAGATGGTCTTCACCCAGTGACACCCGGTGACACCCTTAGGACCGCCCACCACTCAGGAAGGCGCAGCCAGCAATCGATAATACCGTGCACATCAGAATGTAGTGCATGGACGAGCATCACAATTAAAAGTCCAAAGAGGGTCACTCTTGAAGGGCGTCCCTGCTTAATCCCATGTCCAACCAGGAGTTCAGGTCCAAGCCTAATGCACGCCTTAATGCAGGCCTTGACTTTAGTGTACCGAGCCTCAAAGGAGCCCAAGGGAACAACAAAGCAGTTAGTGGTCGATGAAGCCGAAAGTCTTACAGTATGAGGTCTATCTGCGTCGCAATAGGTGGCTAGGCCCCCGCCTAGCCGTGCATATGCCTGGAGATGAGATGCCCCAGGGAAACGATTGGTGCCCGTACTCGAGCAACTCATATATCCTGCCTAACTTGCAGCGTGGGCACTATTATCCTCATAGTATTTGGTATCACATAGAGGGGGGTTTGGATTGGGCATCTTTCAAACTGGGCCACACACACACAGGTTCTACACCCCACTGTGTTGCAGGTGTGTGCATAGGGAGCTAGCGGTTGACGGGTCAATTGACTCAAATTCTCCGGCACGCGAGTGGACGATGAGGTGGGTTTTATGAGTAAAGGGGGGGCCCTAAGACTCCACAACCCCCCATCAAATCATCCCGATAAGCGCACGAATAATCGCTTGAACGCCATTATATTTGCACGATGGCATTGCTAATATGAAGAGTACGCCACAAACGAAGACGCTTTCGCCAAGCAATTATTACGAATTTGAAATCCGCCGCGGCCTTGCGCGATAGCCAACCCTGATCTCTGCAAATTAAGTTTATTACAACGACTCCTAAAACGATCTCGTTGCGCTGCTGCATGGAAGGGTCTGTTGGTATGGCCTGTGACCGTCGGCGGGTTCAGCTGAACCTGCATGTTACCAGACAGCCGCAACTCATCAAACGTTTCCACGCCCGATTTGGAGCTATAAAACCTATGAGCTTAAACTGAGTTGGAAAAACGTATGCTGACCTCAGTCAAAGGTTACAGTTTTATAGCTTCAAATTGTTCAAGGGCGGGAGCCACCGGACAGGATTCAACACAGTCATCGCAATGCACTGAGACTACCACGCCAGCACGCCAGTGCCCAGGATATCTGCGTCGCAACATTAAACTGTTAATATAGCGTAATGAACACTCACATATTTCTGGAACGTAACAGAAATCGGGCGCTGTCCCAAAAATGTTTGTCGTTAGGATATATACGGTACGTACGACATACAAGTCGGCAGAACCCTGTATCAAATGCGTTCAGTTGTTAGATATCAGGCTACTTAATGAGCCTCAAAACCTCATAATGAACAAGCAATGGTCATAAGGACGGCTCGATAAGAATCAACAACTCCGCAAACAAACTTTGTGCTGCTTAGTTTGGTTGTTATTTTTGGTAGTATTGCCAAACATTTTTAAAATATTTTTCTGCTGGCTGCCAAACTGTCCGGCCGGCAGTTGAACGGCTTCCGGCCCGGATCGACCAACCGAAACACCGTTCGTCTTACGCAACCCAATACCATCTCTTGCATCTTGTGTTTATGAACATAGGTGTTTAAATACGGAATGATCTCGCCTAGGCCACTCCTCATTTGGCGTCAGGTCGCAGTTGCGTTTGCGCATGGGCATTTGTCACGCAGATGCATGAAGCCGCAAGAATATTGGACTTGTCCTGAGTTCTGTGGGCTACCATGCTTTGCACAAGGTGTTTCTGTCTCTGTGTTGTTGCTTCTCGCGAGGCGGGCGGGCGGGTGCCTATCGATGACCATGCACGCGACATGGCAGTCGCCTTGGTGACACGGCTCATAGTACCATAGCCAATCAATTCTTGCTGTGCTTCTGATATCTTCCCCTATAAAATTTCAGTCTCGCAACTGCAGTGTTGAACCAGGGTCTTGAGCAGATGTCCCTTAAGCCGGAAACCAAACAGAGGGTTCGGGCACCAGCACAGCAGCAACAGGTGCGGCGGACATCTCGCAAAGTATTTTAGGAGGGGCAGCACAGCTCTCAGCTCAGATTCTTGATGAGGTGTCGCAGCCGGCGCTCGCTGCAGCCTACATGGATTCCCTGCTCGCGGACCCTGTGGCTGCACAGACGGGGCTTCTTGGAGACTTCACCAAACGCAGCAAAGTAGCCGTGATCTACATGTGCTTCGAGCGGATGGAGATGATACACCGAGCCATTCCTGCCATCCTCGGCAGCGAGGGCTTGGCCGAGTTTGACTTTTTTATTTCACAGGATGGCAGCGCCGCTTCTATCTTCGAGAATGGAACCGTGTCCATCCCCAAAGGCACGCAGTTCGCCTACATTCGCCATCCAGCCAACCTTTGCACGGGTCTGCACCATCACTTTGTCAAGGCTTTCGCTTTCAACATTATGGGGTTACGACATTCTGTTGGTCGTGGAGGAGGACAACATCATCTACACCCTCAGGCGCTGCAGGTACGCTTTCGATACGGTAATGCACGGCAACTTGAGACCCAACCAAGAGCGCAGCGGGTTTTGAACTGTTCGATCCGCACGCGCACTTCGCATGCACATGTTCACTTTCCAACATACGCAGCCCGCATAAGCTTATTGAGCGCTGTGGTTGCCTAGGAACAAGGACGAGGCGCATTCTATCCTTGCGAGAGCGATGAATGACAATTTTCATGTCAGCTAGGCAGGCAAGCCTGCCTGTGTGGCGGCCGAGGTATTGCGTGCGGCATATGCATATGCAGGAAACCCAGCGGCTGCAGCGGAATGACTTTAGCAGCACAGAAAGAGAACTGCGGGCGCTGCTGTACAGCTTGCACTGGTTGTGAGAGCAGGCACCGAACCTGTTGTACGGCCGGACAGTGCAATACCAGACGGACAGCCAACCGGCGGAATTCTGCATGGTTGGGATGAAAGGCAACGCCGCTTGCCTGCCCATAGTGGCGGAGATCCATCGCCTCTGCGCGGATACGGACACAGACATTTCAGTGGTGTGGTACCCACGCAGCCGGGAACAGCAGCAGCAGGCAGATGCGCTCAGCAAATACGAAGATGGATCACAGTGGCGAAGTATAAGCACTGGATGGGGCTGCCCTTTTCGGGAGCCGCAGCCGTCATGTGCCAACACATGCTAAGGGTTTTTCATTTCTTGGTTAAGCATATTAGTAAGGTTATGCAGGTTTCGTTTTAGGTTGCTGGGCTTTTGGGGCCAAACAAGAGCATGAAGGGGCAAGTACCCCGTCCCCCAGGGGGCAGCGGTTTTGCCACTGTTGTGGTACTAATAGCCGAATTGAGGATGTGAACCCCTGTTATTGGAATGCCCAGCCTATAATGATATTCGTGCTGAAGAAGGATTCGATCATCAACAGAGCATGTTGGAGGCCATGCAATGGGAACCCGCACGTCTGGCGAGGAAATTGGAACATATGTGGGCTCACCGAAACTCAATTACCCCCTTTAGACGCTAGTCTGGGCTGATGTGCGGTGTTTTCCTTTCCTCCGTGGCTTTTAGGCGTTGTAGTATTACCCTTGGGCCCTCGGCTCGTATGGGTAATCTTACAGGTATGGGGTCACGCACCCCCAACCATGTAACACACACACACACACACATAACACGTCTTCGTCGCAATTAAGCCCGTGAAATTTTACGGGTGCTGTGCATTATGGCTTGGGGCATTACGGGTCAAGACCTTGTGATTACGGGTAATGTAAACTGTGGATGATTCCAGCACGGGCAACCAAGAAAATGTCACCTATGTTCTTCCTTATAAAAGGAATGCTTTGGCAACTTAATAATAAGCATGTTTACAAATTTTCTTGGCCGGTAATTACATGTGAAGACCACGTGATTACGGGTAAACATGAATTTACGGGTGAAAACCTTTCCCAGAGTGATGCAACCAGATTTACCCTGACGTGGACTTATTGTTGTAGTTGTTGATGTTGTTACAGGGTGGTTAAGCTTCACCAGTGGCCTCCTTCCCGAGGCGATTCCCTGCTCTCCCCTGCTAGAGGGGCACCCTAATCCATTCATCCCATCTGACTTCAGAATGTATTCGTTGGGTTCAGCAACTCACCACCAGCATCCAACCAATTCTAGCGGATCAACGGCGCCGCAACTTAGTGCCTGGTCGGCTCGCAAGCTGATATTATTATGTCCTACACCGTCCATAAGATGAGGAGCCACCTCCCATTTCAACACTCTTTAAACACCCTAGGAATTGGCAGGCGGAGTTGAACCCGGATACTCCAGGAGCAGTAGTCAGGTCTTAACCTCTGCCAGCCACCTGCCTTTGTTGGGCTACCAAGCTTCTAGAAGCAGAAGTCGAAAACTTATAGTGGTCTGGTCTGGTGATACAATTAGCAGATGAATATTGTGGGTTCAAATCCTGGGCAGGCGCCCGACATTGACCAGGAGATACTGGCTTACGGATTGCTCTGTTGAAGTGTGGAGATGAGGTCTAGTTGATGGACTAAGTTTAGCATGCCGAATTGGTGGCGGTGGCTGGCTTATCTCTACGGATGTCAGGTGGTTGGATGAGGAGGGGTCTGGGTAGCAGGACCCAAAACCGCCGTCGGTTGTACGGTGGAATCAACCTTTAATATATATAGTCCATGGCCTCCTGGCTTTGACGGACACCCCCGCACTCGTGCGGAACTTGTAACTTGTATCTTTTATTATACCGCCAACCGGCAAAACTCAATCGCATGACGTTAGTAACTGTATGTTGCGCGTGTTCTCATGAAGGCCTTCAGCAAGCACGCTTTCACGCGACAACTGAAAATAAATTACCCACAATTTTTTGTATCTCCCTAAAACTTTGTGATCGAATGATTGCAGATTCAATTCCGGCTCGGGCCACAAATCGCTTAGGGTTGCAGCTAGTGTTGTCGCTCCATCGCGTTGTAGGTATATTGTGCTGTCTTTATGTCTGTCTGTCTACCTGTCTGTCTGTAACGACCAAACACAATAACCCGCCTAACCATGAAGCATAATTAGTATCCTTACACATTCCCACCTGCAAACCCTATCCCTTCGTAACAACCTTGGATAGTCGTGAGTCTATAGCCTGGTACGCCCCGTTCTCTAAGTCGTATCCATAACAGATTACAATTCAGACGATTAAAGGCTTTATCAAAATCAAATTAACGATCTACGAAATGGCACAACGGAGAAAAATGGCGCTGTAGCCGACTTACTGCCGGGCTTGAATCTTCGTTGCTACTGCGTAAACGCCTACCTTGCATACCGATAACTCTCGACACAGATACCGTTTCCGGGCCACTAGACTCGTTATTTGGTAAGTAGGTAAGCGCGTAGACCTAAGCTATATTTCGCGAATATACAGCAGCTCCCACGCCTGCAGAAATGTGGCCAGGTGTACGACGTCCTCTGGGAGTCCTCTGTGATACATTGTACGGGGGAAATTACCAATCTACAAACCATAAAAAGGTAGCCAGAAACGCTTAGATGCGCGACACGTTCAACCGAGCGACAAGGGGCTCGCACACGTCCAAACGATGTTCAGCGCATTGTGACAGCGTTGGCATACCTTCCCCCAGTGGAAGATGTTGATGACCACCCGTTAGTTCCTAATGCGTGGTGTTGGAATTTGCCATTGTGGGGAAACCCTGTTCTTCCAGAAAAAAAATTGAATGTCCAGTTAGATAACATCCGCCCGGGACTAGAATTTCGTCATCAAGCCCTCCTGGGCTGTAAAGCATTGCATACGTTGGGAGATGTTCTTTGCGCGCGAGAGGCCTTGGATGGAGTTATGAATGCAACGGACCAAGCAGGCCTAGCAATACGCAAGGCTTGGCATCAAATAGTGGATAAATACCTCCAACCGCAAACCCCACTAGCTAAATCCCTGTGCACCTATCGTAAATGGCAGGAATGTATGGATGCTATTGCCGCTCTTCTAGATGATATTCCAGCGAATTGGAGACAGGCGGCTAGTCTTTTGTTGCCGCTGAGTGTAGAATCTAGGGAAGCGATGGTGCCCCCTATTGAGTCGGTTACTCAAACCCTAGTGTCGAGGCTTGGTTGGAGATGGGGTGTAGGGCCTCCAATCCGGGATCCTCA